GCAGGTGCGGCCCGGCCCGGCTTCTGCGGGGGGCGGCTCCGCCACAGCAGTGGCTGTCCCGGGCGCTGCGGTGGAGCGGTGCGGCCCCCCGGCACCCCCGCGGGCTGGGGGGGCGACCTGCGGAGCTGCCTCTGCTCCGCTCCCTTCCCAGGCTACCGCTTATGTTCTTTATCCCATCCCTGCGCAGTCTCCACTTTCAATGACACAAACCCTCTCCTTCCGCCCTCCCCTGGCATAAACGTGTTTTCAAGCCTTTTCAAATATTTTTTTGAACCTTCCGCTTTACTCCCGGATGATTATTTCTGTTCTACTGTTGTTTTTCTTCCCTCCTCTTGCAGCCTGTCCAGCAAGATGGGTTTCCAGGCTTGGCTGCCCCTGCCGTTGCCAAAGCAGCTGGTGGTGTTCGGGCTGGGAGACTGGAGCTGCTACTCTCCGGACACAAGCGTCGCGGTGGACGTGGTGGTGTCCCCAGGCATGGCGCCGCAGCGGGTCGGCACGCTGGAGCCCACCCGCAGGTGCCCCGTGGTGGGAGCTGGCGTTGCCGGGCTGTCGGGAGGGGTGGCCGGGAAAAGCTTTCTGCTCTGTGGTGCTGCTCCCTGCTGCTAGTGTCGTCCCAAAGCTGCTCAGTCCTGCTGCTCCTCCACCACGGTGTTCCTCTCTAGTGATGCTTTCAGCTTCCTTTTGGCTGCTTTCAGGGCTGGATCTTTTTTATCTTCGGGGTGTTACCAGCTAGTGTGGGATCAGGAATTTTTCCTTGTCGGCATCACTTCTGGGACGAAAACCTGTGGTCCCCTGTGCAGGTCTCTGGTGTGGGAAGGTGACTGGAGGACAGATATTTTCATGACCTCGTTGAAAGAGATGGACAAAGGCAGCTCCGTGAAGCTTGTCCTGACTGTCAATGGACAGGTAAAAGAACCAACATCCTCTTCTTTTCCTGCTCTTTGTCCCAAATATTGTCACTTCTGAGCTCCAGAACTTCCTCTCATATCCTCTCCTTTTCCTTCTCTTTGTTACTATAAGGCAGACCCACCTCACATGAATCTATTAGTGTACCTTTGTGCTGAGCCTAAACCATTGGTCATACTCCAGGCCTATTCCCTAACCACAGCTTTGCAAAAACACCTTGGGTGTTGCAGGAGATGGGTAGCAGAGAGTGGTTCACTTCCAGTTCCACTCTTTCCTGGGTCTGTGATGCTTACACAATTATCTTACCTTGTGCTGAATTCCTTGGATTTAGCATCTCTCAGTGCCTGGCTTTGCTGTTCTTTGTTTATTCTGTTGGTGCTAGAGATGAAAGTTGGGCTATTCCCTTTCAGGGAATCTGCCCCTTGCAAGACATCTTTTTGCTCACCCTTTGTGGATGGAGGCCAGCACACTTGGTGTGTCCTTTTAGTCTCATGGTCACTGTTTGTGCCGCAGCTGCTCCGAGGTGTCTCCAGCAGCACGCCCACCCACCCCTTCCTTGTCCCAGAGACCACCCAGTCACCAGTGCTCTCATCAGATGATATGCCCCTTGGCCAGGGCCTGGAGGATCCTACTGTGGTATGTGTATCTTGGAGCCTTCCTCTTGTTATTTCACTCTCTCCCTAGTATCTTCCACCTCACTTGTAGCTGCTCAGTTGATCTCTAGCAGAAAAACATTTGCTGTCACTCTCTTAGTGGAGACCTGGCTAAGGAAGTTTTGGAGCCAAAGATTCGCTTGCGCTAAAGAAAGTGGTACTCTCCATTGAAATGCCTTTGGAAGGATTGAATTTAACAGCCTGGTTACTCCTAGCAGAGCAGCTGCCTTGTGCTAGATATGCCTGTCACAGCCAGAAGTCTGAAAGCGGACCACTGGGCATATAGCAGCAGGTAGCTGCATTGCTCAGCATATGTTTGGTGGCTGATACTGTTGGCATGCTGGCCCTTAAGACTCATTGGGAAGGTGAAACTCCTCTCTGGCCCAATAATAGACAACTCACAGTAGCCTCAGGCCTTTTTCTTCAGGGCTGATTTAACTGGCACTCTTGTCACAGGTTAAGAGTCAGAGCTCAGAAGAGGTGACTGCTAGAGCATCCAGGCCTGAGAGGAAGGATGTCCGCCCACCGCTGAGGACCCTGCCGGTACCCTGTGCCCTGAAGTCACCATCTGGCAAGGTGGAAGCCAGTGAGGCCTGGAGGAAGAGTCCTGTCCACCCCAAGAAGCCCAGGAAAGTTTTATTTGAACCCACAGCGTCTGAGAAAGATCTAGATGAAGAAGGTAACTGTCAGCTTTCAGCTTTACAGGTCTTGTCTGAAGGATCTGTCAATGCTGCCAGGCAACAGCTTCCCAGTCTGTTTCTCTGTATACCTCCAAGGCAAGATGAGCTTGTCTGTCTTGACTTGGGAAATACCAAGAACTGCTCCTTTCTTGGATAAACAGCTTGATGAATTTTTGCCTGTTGGGGAAAGGCTAGAAATAGAACACGGGAAACTTTCAGTGCCTATGTCTTTATATGAGTACAAGTGCTTTATAAATGAAGGCAAGTATTGTTAGCTTTGTTTTACAAAAGAGTAAATTAAGGCACAAGAAAGTTACCTACTGTGACGTTAGTAGTTTGTTCCCCTGCTAACAGCATACACTGGGTCCAATGAAGGCATTGGTGGCTATTAATGTACAGAGAATATGAAAAGGAAATATGTATAACTAGTCTAATTGTACTGACTTTCAGTAGTGAGAAGGTAGCTGCCGTGGGGTTTAGAAACTAGCTTCTGAAGTGTGCATTCCAAGTCAGCTCCAGGGTGTGACCAAGTTTGTGTGTAAATGTTTGATGATAACTCAGTGGTCCCTGTGTGAAATGACATCTTGGGACTTGTCTTGCTTCTCACAAAGGGAAATACAGCTCCATCATAAAGTCACTTCTGCTGTAGGCAGTATGAGAAGTGGAGAAATGAGCTGCCATCAGAGGGGTAAAAGGCAATGGTGACAGCATGATGGCAGTCAAAGGAAGTGTGCCCTGCTCATACCTGTCTTCTGCATTTATTCTGATGAGACTTTCTTTAGGATTCTTGGTCTTGCACCTTGTTTGTTGCAGTGAGGTAGCTTTGTGTTGGGGGTTGAAGGAAGGAAGGCCAAAGGGCTCTTAAACTGTGGAGCTGAGCACTTTCCAGGGTATGTCTGCTGTCTGCTTTCTTTATGAGGCCATCTCTGTGTTTCCTCTGCAGATCTGGCAGTGAAGGAGTTGCAAGGTGAGGATCTGGTTCCTACACCCTGGTTTGTCTTTTCAGTCACTCAGTGATGCCATTTCCTTTAATGTCACAGGCCTCTCATGCTTCATCCTTCATCTGTCCAGTGATCAAGAATAACAAGTAGGTTGTGTGTATATACACCGTTCCTTTCCATGCAGCTGCCCTCAGTATAGGTGGGCAGTACAGCTGGGCTCTCCAATACACTTCTGTAGCCCCTCTGAATCTCAGGCACACCTCTGAATGCATAGGCCTTTGAAGCAAAGGTTAAGATGTGGAAGAAACTTTGATTTAAAAGTATTTGTTAGCTTGCTCAGCCAACCACAGGGGCTTGGGAGATGAAAAGTAGAGGAACGAGGCAGTATGAGGAATATCTCTGGAAGCAGCTCCAGTCTTCTGGTTGCTGTATCTTAGGCACTGACAAGCTGTCCCTGGGTAGCCCTCCCTCACAAGGAGTAACACAGGGGGATAGCACAACTGGGATATCCCTTCTGGCAATGAGTAATCAATAGGGGTCATCCAAACTTGTCTGAAGTGTCAGCCTCTATGTGTCCTACATTCAGCCAGACTCTCTGCTGGCTCCCTCTGCTAGTGGTGTCTCTCCTAGTACAGCAGTTATTCCCCAAAGCCAGCAGAAAATAATCCTCAGGGAGCTATGTCTCTTTCCACCCCAGAAGGAAGGGACCTGGGGCCCTTGCCTTCCCATTTCTCCCCTCTGAGCCTTCAGCTACCTTGTTCTCCCCAGCAGGGAAGGTAGCCGGGGGTGTCTCATCTGACTGCTCACAGCTCTGTGCTCTCCCCTCATCAGGCAGTCCCAGCCCACGGTGGTGCCACACCATGTGCCTCAGTGACCTGGGGACAGCTGTTCTAATTGGCGGTGAAGGTGTCAATCAGCAGTCCTGCAAGGATGCATTCTGGAAGCTGGAAATTGGTGAGGCCTTTTAGGGCTATCAAAGGCAATGGGGGCAGCAGGATTTGAGGACAAATGATGCAGATGGGAGGGGGTACTCAGGGGTCTGTGCATAGGGAGGGGACAGCAGAGGTGTCACATCTGCTGGCATGGTCACCAGGCTGAGCTGATGGTGTAGGGTGCTATGAGAGGCTGTGGGATTGTTTGTGATTGCCCTCCAGGAGCTAAGGTATAAGTTCTGGAAAGAGTTCAGTGAGTTTTCAGGGGTAAAAGCAACAGCTGAGTCTGAGTGTGATGACTGGTGGAGAAGTGTGAGACACAATTCCAGTGCCTTGCAGCTTTCTGCACTTTACTGATCCTCTCTTCCATCTTACTGTTCCCCACATAGTTAGTGTTCCCCTTAATTTCTTACATGGACACATTTCTGTGAGATGTGTCCCCTCTAGCCATCTATCAAAGGAGGGGAGGAGATGAAGGGAGAAAGGCCTTGAGTAAAGCTTTTTCTGACCTGTTCTTGAAATCTGGAAAAATCAAGAGCATCTTTGAACTGCCAAACCATGTGTCTGGTGTTGCTCCCACAGACAGTGATTTCTGGCTTCCTGTGGGTTTCCAGCTACAAAATACCATGCCATCATGCTTGCATGGTCACACAGCTACCTACGACCCAGACACCAAGCGTATCTACATCTTTGGGGGTATAAGGGAGGACAAAAACTACAGTGGCATCTACATTCTGGACACAGTCACCTGGAAATGGCTCCTCGTGGCTGTAAGTACTGCAGCTCTTTCAAGAAAAAAGCACAGGAGGGGTGGCAGGTCCTGCCTGAATGTGGCAATCAGTGTGCCTCTATCCTTACTCCAGTAGTCTTGGTCCACTGTTGCTGTAGCTTGTCTGAGCTGCTTAGTTGGGATTGACAGATATAAGAAAGCTATGTTGAAAGGCCACAAGCCTGGCAGAAGCCGGGGGCTGTGCCTGCAATGAATGAAGCAGGTGAAAAAATGGTTGCTGCAGAGTGCTGGATCTAACCAAGGTTGTGGATGGGAGGTACTGTACAAGTGGCAGAGGGAAATGGCCTCTTATTTTATATGGTGCTGTTGAGAGCTGTACTGGATGCTGAGATAACAGCTGGTCTTCTCAACTCACAGACTGCTCTGAGCACAGCAGATCTCTCAGCTCTTTAGTTGCCTGTCATGTCCTTGTAGAGGGACCTGTCAGCAAGTGACTATCTGTCTCCTTCCTGGCTAAATCACAAGATTGCTTTTACAGAATAAGCCTGGATGAGATCTTTCTGTTCTCTCATCTTCTGAGGAAGCTGGGGTAGGAGGTTGACTTCCTTCTCTCATCAGAGCATTCTGGTGGTACAGAGTACACAAAGGATGTACTGTCTGTCTGTGTGGCAAAGATCTGGCTGGGGAGCCAATAAAGTGAAAATTGAGACTTGTTGAACTCACTGCATGATGTGGACCCCCTTTCCTACAGGTCATGCAGCAAATAATGCACTTCTTATAACAAATGCATGTTGAACTTTTTCCAGGCTAAAGGGAGGATGCCAGTGCTCACCTACCACAGCGCAACTATCTACCGCAAGGAGCTCTTTGTTTTTGGAGGGACTTGGCCCAAAAAGGCATCATTGGCAGTTGGGCCCTGCAGCAATATGCTCTATGTCTTCAATCCAGAGCATGAAATTTGGTACCAGCCCATCTCAGAAGGGGAGAAACCTCTGCCTAGGTTTGGGTGAGAGTGCTCTTATTCTAGCCCTCCAAAATAGAGCAGGAAACCTCTGCTCACCTTCGCTCTCACCCCTAAATATTAAATTGTTCCCCACCATTTGCTCCATAAATTAGGGCTATGATTTGAGCAATGTGACTCCTGGTACATCCTCTCGTGAATTCTGATGGGATTCTGTCCTTGGGCTGCAGTGGCTGGGGGTAGAGGCAGGTGTAGACTGAAGCTGTGGCAGCCCAATAGCAGAAGCCAAGGCTGAAACATCAGTTTTGGGAACTTGCTGAGGATACTTTGTTCACTTGCTGCTTCTCTGCCCAGGCATTCAGCTACTCTACTGAAGAACAAGCTGCTGATTTTTGGGGGTCGGAGGACTTCTCTCTACCTCAGTGACATGCACATCCTGGATCTGGGTAAGAAAGTCTGTGCCAGGTGGATGCCTTGGGAAGGTCTGTTCTAAGGCAGGGACTGGGAAATGAGGCGTGCTTGATGGGAAGGTAGCATTAACATTATAAAAACTCCTGACTAGGCAATAGAGATGGAAAACTCTGGGGTAAAAAAACCCTTTCTGGGGTAAGTGGAGTGGAGAATGGGGAAAAACAAGAGACTGCTTTTTTGAAAGAAGCTGGGTAACCGAGAATGCAGGTTGCTGATGTGTCAGAGCATCGAAGTTTTTTTCTAGTTATGAGGCTGCGCTTTTTTGGACATTTCACCTGCCTCTTCCCTGGCTGTTCAGGTTTCATGGAGTACATACCAGTTCCCCTCCTCGCAGGACAGCCTTCTGCACGTTGGTAAGATCCTATTGCAGACCCTGGAGCTGTTTCTTTCCTCTGTCCTTTGTCTTTGAAGCCAGGTTTAAACTGTGCCTGCGATCAGACCCAATTGCATATCTCTCTCTCACTAGTCAAAATGCAGTGGATGGCCCCTCTCCTGTGGGACCAAAAATTCCTGTGCTGTCCTAGTTGGTGCCTGTGGAGTAGGGGGTGTACAGACCCCTTAGTTGTCTTGGAAATCTGCCTTTCAGGCTAGAGGAAGTTTTCTACTGTGTGCTAGTGAACTACATTGCCTGCTGTTTGGTCTCCACAGTACTTGGAGTACAACAGACACACAGAGAGGAAGAAACTCTTGTACCAGTACTATGCTGTTCCTAAAGGGACATTATTGCCCACTAGAACAATGACCTAAATTAGACCAAAGCCTAGCTAGCTTTCTATCACACTCCATAGTGCAAAACCTAGGAGTTTTGATAGCTCTTTGAGATGAGGTCTTTTTCAGGCCTGATTATGGCTTGACCTGCAGAGGCAGACGTCTCTGTCAGGGCAGAAGAGAAGTTAACTTCCATTCTCCAGCTTAAGCCCCTAGCCTCCTGCTGAAGTCTGCCCACCCCTGTCCATTGCTGACTGAGGCAACCCCAGCAGGTTTTGCTGTAGTCACCTTTCAGCTTTACTTTGGTCGTAGTTTTCATGCAGCTCTGGCTGTGTCGGACCAGAAGGTTCTGATCAGTGGAGGCTGCAATGCCAAGGGAGCCCTGCAGGATGCCTTTGTTTTTCACCTAGGTGAGTGACTCTCCCTCCCTGTTTCCATAGCTGAGGGCGACTGGGGCTGCAGTGGTGTTTCTGGTCCATTTGTTTCATCCCTTGCACTAGGAATAAGCTTGTCAATATTAATAGCTCCTTTCTACTTCAGATACTCTTTCATGGAGCACGGTCATCCACCATGACCTCTGCTCTGTGCCCCGAGCTGGCCACACATTGCTTGACCTGACTCCTGCCCACCTGGTGGATGCGGACAAGGAGAACGAAGAGGAGCATAACCTGCACACGGTGTTGGTCTTCGGAGGCTCCAACTGTACTGGGACCTTTTACAACAGCACAGTCAAGATCCAGCTGGACCTAGGATAATGCACAATACTCAGAATGAGCCTGGAACAGCAAGGGCTCTTCACCAGCCTGAATACAGATGTGGATGGCAATAAATAAGTCCAAGCAATGTGGCAGTCCAAGTATCTATACATAGGTGAATGCTACCTTGGCACAGGAGATCAGGGGTTTGTAAAATCTTTCTGAAGGCCATGAGTGTTGCCCTCTTAGGGTAGCTGATATACAGCATCAGACTGGCAGAAAATCCCTCCTATATCTCTAGCTTGGTACCTGGTCTTGGGTGCCAAAACGTTCATTGGGATCTGAGCTGAGCTGCACAGGAACACAGTCACAGGCTTCTGGGTTTCCCTTGCCCTACATGTTTCTGGGCTGGAATTCATTCCTAGGGTGCTTTCAGCTCTGAAGGTGACTCATGTATTGGGTTTCATTTGTGATGAGTGGAAAGGGATTTATTCCAGCTGCTTGGAAGCTCCTGGTGGTGAAAGTACAGACATGATTCTGCTTTCGAGGGAATCTGGGGTGGGATTCCCTTGGGCAATAGTCTGCAGCTAAGGACTAGGAAAACACCTAGAACAGTATTTGAGGATGGGAAAAGGAAGAGAATGCCATCATTTTCAGTGTGTGGGAATGAACTGGCTGTGTTTTGCTGACTGGCACAACCACCTAGCTTTGCTCTAGGCAGACCTTTATTATAAATTCCACAAGACTGCTGCTAGACATAAGGAAGAGGTACAAATCAGCTGTCCTAGGTAGTAATTCTCTTGTCATTGGAAGCGGTGGCAGAGTTGCTGACTTGGTTCTTGCAAGATCTGCAGGACCCAGCAAGGGTTGGGATTAAGCTGTCTTCTGTCAGAGACTAGCTCTTACTGTTTATATCCATGACACTGATGATTACATCATAGGTGTGAGGCAGCTGCAGGGACAAGCAGGCCTGATAGATTAGTAGCACACTGTGTACCCTGGTTCCCTGATGCTCTTTCTGTAGGTGGTAGAAAGAAGCAGCTTCTGTGAGGAGTCCAGAATTGGCTCAGTGCCTCACAGTTTGTGGACACATTCCCCAACCCAAAGCCATACAAAGGGGACTTCAATAATTATGGATGTTTCTGCTTTAATCTGCTCCAGAGAGATAAATCAGATACAAAAAACATAGTCAGAAGTAGCTGCAAGCTTTCCAGCAGAGGCATAGGTCCTATAAGTCATCCAGGCTACTTCCAGGTTCTCTTTCCTCCCACACAGATGAAATTGAGACCATAATACTAGGGCTTTGGACTGGCACTGAAGTCCTACTGAAGCTGTAACTGTTGTCCTCTTTGACGCTCCAGCTTACTTGGTTTAGTGAGTAGAAGGGCTTCAGACTTGCAGCTCTGCAGGAGTATCTGGCTGCCGGGATGGGTGGCTTACTTTGAATGCCTCTAACTCCAGAAGAGCTTTGTTTATTCTGGTTATTGTGGGATATGGACCCATGTCCACTTTGAATCTGCAAAAGGAAAAGAGTTTCTGAGGTACTATGAGTTGGACAGCCAGTGCAGCAATGAGCAGAAGATCACAGCAGTGTGCTGTGCCTGCCCAGTATGGGAGAATCTCACAGGCTGGGGTACATTTGCATTAACAGAAAAAAATTCATCCTTTTAGGTTTAAAAACAAATGCTGGAGGGAAGGTTAGTTAAGTTTTTCCATCTTCACTAGGCTTTTACATAGTATGCAGCACAGGGTAAGAAGGCACTATGCTTTTCCTGGGAATCCTGCAGACACTACCTGCATAGGTTTAAGGCTTTGAACAAATATAGTCAGATTAATCTTTTCCCTGTGTGCAGTAGACCGAACAGGGAGAAAGGGCGTGGAGTGCAGGCAACCTTAGCTTTTCTAAGGACACAGATCAGGTTTCCTCCAGACACCTCTGAAAAGAGAGCGCAGCTCCTTATTTACAAGAGCTTCCAAGAGAGACAGTACTTATGACATATGAAAACTAACGCAGAGAAGAATCCCTAACTGGATAGGGCAGGCAGGAGGTATGCTTTCCTAACAGGCACAAGGAGCAGCAGAAGGTAAGCTCTGACAGCCCAGCACCTGGAGTAGGTGCCCTTGAAGAGTGCCTCAAGCTTAGCCTTAATTACCTTTCAGCATTGAAAACTTGAGGCACCAAGCACAGATCAGCCATGGAAACCTGCAAACATAGCAGAGAAAAGGAGTCAGAGTAACTCAGAGACTGTCCTGTCACACTTTGCTGTGGTGGCAAACTTTGAGAGCAAGACAGAAATTATTTATCAGCCAGTACAGAGGAGTTGTCATGAGAATCTTATTCTTTAATCCAACATTAATAATACAACAGTGGTACAAGGAAGAAACTTCATAGCAGTCACTAGTAGAAGAAGCCATCAGCCTTTAGGGAGCCTTATATTTACCAGCTGATCATGACAACCTCAAGGACACAGTGCTTCTATGGCAACTACCTCTGAGCAAACAAGTCTGCTGGCAAGCTGCAGAGGGAGGTGATGGAGGGAGGGGGGAGTTTGCATGGCAGGGAAAAGATGAGTAAATTTTGCTTGTTTACACCGTAAGAGTATCAAGCAGCTCCTGCCAATGTCAAGACCTGATAAGTGATAGGGCCTTTGCACACAGGCTCAGGGACTTGCAATCTGAAAAGACAATTCAAGGACAGCTAGCTGCCTATCCACACAGAGGCAGCTGCTCCCACCCCACACCCAGGTCACACAGCTCTGGGTGCCTTTCGGAGCACACACTATTCTCCGGTATAAGATCTTGTAACTAGCTTTTTTCAAAGGGCTCCAGTTCCATAAGGCTCCTACGAGACAATCCTCTGCATGACAGGATATTGCAGGAGCCTTCCTTTTTTTCTGAGGCTTTTATAGGAACGATCCAAATGTCTGCCAAACAGGACTACTAAATGGAAGAGGCCTCAGTGGTCTCTAGCTTGGTAAGGGTCGTAACAGCTTGTATGTGAGCTCTCTGTCCATGCTAAATCTGTCAATGTTAAAATTGGACAAACAGAGCAGAAAAATACTGTACAACTTGGTTAAAGGTTAAACCTTTAAACCCTGCCTGGGGTTAAACCATGACAGTTCCACAGAGCAGAGCTAAGAACTGAATCTGTGTTTCTTGAGCCAAGCTTTGCGCCTGTGACAGGACACTTTGAACTCCCAAATCTCTTAAAAATTAAATATATATCATCTGTTTCCACATCGTCTAGTAGTAGCCAGATCCTAGATACAGCTGCAGAGTCTGACCATCAGCAGGTTATAGACAGGGACAAGTAAACACCTCTGTAACTAACTGCAAGTCAGTAATGGCCTAAGCAGGATCCATGCAACAGTTTTCCTTCAAGCAAAGGCACCAGGCACAGGATGGAGTGCTGCGTCTCCACAACTGATTTCCTTTCCTGTTTTATGGAATATACTGGCATTTTCAGTTCTCTAATGGTACACAACACTCTCTCAGATACTTACTTCATCCCCCACACAGTAGCGCCCAGCAGTGTGGTGCAGAAGCTGCTCCAGTGCTGTCAAGAGAGGTGGTACACTGGTGTGAGGCATTGGAAACTCATTTGAAAGGGATACCAAGGACCTTTTAGACTGGGAATTATGAACAAGAACCCTGAGCTGGGTATGAAAAGGAGCATTTGGGAACAGAACCCAGAAGGAAGAGAAATCTTACAACAGCATAATTCTGGGAATCTTTAGGGATCTTCAGCTTTTTGAGACCCAGGGTGATTTCAGCTGCTTTGGGCAATGCACCTGAAATACTAAGAGGGCAATGCAGAGATATAGGGAGGGGAAAAATGCAAACGTTCAGTCAGTTTGCTTCTGTCCAGAAGTGAAGATGGGCCTGCCGTTCCAGCACACAGGAGAAAGGGTTTTGGGGAAAGAAAAAGCACCCTATTTTTCCCAGGGAGGTAAAGAAATACTCTGCTACTCACTAGAGTCTCTGGGAGTTTGCCATCAGGTATCTTTCATCTGATTATGAAAGCATATAGATGGATAGAACTTTAAAGCAAAAGGGACTAGTTTGGGAGCAGCTGGGTGGAAAGGAGAAATGATGTCAGCCCTCATACTTCAGGGTGAATCGACTGCTGCAGTGTACAGGATGGCCCCAGGCTTCCCCTCCTCCATGTGCAGCACTGGAAGCTGCTTGTGGACAGCATCTTTCCTCCCAGACCCTGGAGATCTAGTAGTCCTGGACAAGGGACTCTGGGCAGGAAAAGCACTATCTCTGCCAGCAGGGCAGGACCCCCAGTACACCAGCCTAGGAAGATCTGTTTTTCTGCTTGAAGATGAAAGTAGGACCCCAGCAGTACAGCATTTTGAAGGGTCTCTTGAAGTGCTGATCATTTTGTATGTGAAACACACCTTGAAAGCCAGATGCAATGCAGTTCTGAGCCCATTCCATTTTTTTCTCCCCCATTTGTTTCAGGATGCTCAGGTTCTGCAAAGGTAAGCGATCTCCAGGTTAGATTAACAGCTGCAGGCTGGATTTTGCCCACTGCCTCGTCCAGTGGAGAAGAGGGGAGATAAGGAGTTGCCAAGCCTGAACTCCCAGCCTGAGGTCAGCCTGCTGGGTCAGCCCTGAGCTCACTCTCACCGAATCATGTACCTTGCAGTCTCTCTCGGGACTGTCATGTAACAGAGCTGCTAGGGTATCCCTTGGCCTCTGCCCTTTGGGTTGCTCCTAAAACATGATAGACCCGGCAGTGAAACCATATGGGTTCAGCTGTGTCTGGAAAGAACCTGGGGTGCTATAGGATTTTCTTTGTAGGAAACACTGTATTGTTGCCATTGGTAAATCAAACAGAGGCTAAGCAGAGATTTCATCTGCTAACATACAATCTTAAGGTCTGCCACAATACTGGCTGGCAATAATTTAAAGAGACTGAGCTTTTCAGACATACAGACTCCTGGAAACCCAAGCTGGTTTTCCTCATTTGCATGGATATGACAAAGCAATACCTGGAGTGGCTGAATGCCAGAGACAATGTGATCAGCAATCATTCTGACTTGGGCTCTTTTCTTCAGATCTTGGGGCAGGAGCCTGGGGTTAGGATGAGTGTCTTCTAGGTAATGAATTATAGCTAGCTGTAATGAACAAAGAGATCAGGAGAGGTTATTGGAGAACCAAGGAAAAGTTCACATCCCGAGCATCTGGGAAAGGGGGCCTGATTCAAGAGAATACAACTGTTTTTGAATGAAGTTGGTTACCAATCCAAGGAACAGAGTATTTCCTTCGATGTCTGCTTGGGATCTTGTCATTTAGCTCAGCTATAATTTCAGGTAAACCCTGGCACAGCCATCTAAGTCAGACTATAAACTGCTCAGTGAAAGCTGAGTTGATTTTAAATCGTTGACAGCAGTTTCCCAGCAAAGGCTATGTGCTATTTCTTCCCCCAAGGATTGTTTATTACAAATGTCTTCTCTTTTCCAATGCACAGATGAGAGCTCTGCGGGAAAAGATGGGGCAAAGCCATCCCCTCCAGACTGAGCAGCAGGCTGGAGTGAATGGTTAACAGGGATGAGGCTGGTAACTCACCGACTGAGAGAGGGTGATGCCATCAATTTTCAAAGCTGGGACTTGCTGCATTGGATTCACTGCCTTGAATTCTGCAGAAAACTGTGGAAACAAACCTGAGAGTACTGCAACAAAAACCTCTTTTTCCTTGTTTTCCTTCTCTAGAACCCAGTTACCAAATCTGGCTTTTCCCTCTACCTCAGTACTATTATTTGCAGTAAGCTATGCTGTACTATTAGTCTCCAGCAAGCTCTTAGTGGGGCTCAGGGATTGCTACATCTGAGGCCAGACTGCCTTACCTCTTGACAAACCACCAATACAAAGCCCAGGATGGGTGGTGCTGCAGGAGTGTCACTGTTACTGTTATAGCTCTCCAACTCTGTTTTAGCCCATATTGGCACATCTAGATGATGGTACTACTGGGTGCACAACTCCCTGCTATGAGTAAGTTCTCAGTGAAGATCTCTTCTGGCATCCCACTCCTTTGTTTTGCAAGCCCTTTGTGGCCCCTTGTTACATCATTTAGCATCTTTTGGACACACACGCTTTCTGGTGCTAACTGAATGAGGTCGAGTCTGCGTTTAAATTGCAGTGCAGCTTCTCTGAAATCTGTGTGCCAGATATGTTCAGTTGTATCATGCTAAGCAGGAGCAAAAGATCTTCAGCCTTATGAAATCCAGTCACGTGTTTGAAGAAACAACCTTTAGTCTCCTGCAGTCATCTCTTCCCTCTGTCTTGCATGCCAGGGAATACTGGCTGAAAGCAACTATTAATTACAGAGAAGCAGTGAAGAATTCAGTGACTTTGCCTGTGAATTTTCTAGTGCTAATCTCGGTTCTCCTAATGAACCCCAAGTTCAGTACCCCTGGAGAGAGCAATGCAGCTGTATCCTTACCTGCTGCCCCCCGTCCTTCAGGAGGTTCACTGGCACCAGGTCATAGGAAATCCCTTTCAGAGACAGTGCTAGGGAGAGCAGAGTGTACAGCTTGAGACAAGCACACCAAGACCAGTTTCACTGGTAACAGGCTCAGGGAAATGCTACCATCTCCATTTAAAAAAAGAATAGGTTTAAAACCAAAAAAGACCCTATCCCTCAAGAAAGGTGGCCTGAGTCCACTGAGAAGACCATGCTCTGGCAAATGAAGGACCAAAGCACTAAAGATCAGTCCTAGCAAAATCACTGCATTTTTCAAAATCAGCTTTGCCACTCTTTGCAGCACAGACTCTCCTAATTTGGCTTATAGATGGCGGAGGGCCCTGTGCTCACCTGCAAAACCTTGCTTAAGACTGTCTCAGTACAAGTAAGGACTATTCCCAGCCCGGCTTACCTCTCAAGACCTGGGCAGACCAGAATCTGAAGCAGTATCTGTGTAAAAACAGAGTGTAGGGCCCCTCTATATAATGTGGAAGAAACATCCATCTGCATCATGCTGGCTTTACAAAAGGAGTAATCTCCTCTAACTTCAGGCTGAATGAAGCCCTCCTGTCTGTTCCTCTCCCTTCCCCCTGTTCCAGATAAGCTATGGTATTCCCCTCCTTCCCACTGGGGAAGTGCCTCACTGTTCCTGTTTGCCGATTTCTCTCAATAAGTGACTAATTGGTTAGTGAAGAGGAGGATACTACAATAACACCAAGACAGTAAATGAGAGATCAACGCTGTATCTTACCGATTCTTACTCTCCAAGAGCAGGAACTTCGGAAATAGCTGTAGAGTATTGGCTGAGAAGAGAAAGAGAGATAAAGTGAGTATGTGGCAGGAACACCAGAGTATTTTAAGGGTAACAATGCATGAACAGAAGGCATTTCAGGACCTGTAAGACAGGGAAAAGCAACGTTTGGGGGGAGAGAGGGGTCCTTTCTGAAAGTACCTGGGCATACAGGTAGTATCACTGTCTTTCATGCTGGCTCTCTGAATATTTAGTTGCACCTGATGTTTTCAGCAATGCACAAGGGACCTTAAAATTATCTCCTATAAAGCTTCCCTCTTTGTCTCTATCACGTGTTGCTAACTTCTATCCCATTTTAGATTTTTGAATCAAATTACCCATTGATTGTGCCAAGCACCTGCACTGAGTATTTGTGTGGCATGAAATAGCTTTTCCAGCCATGCAGGGCAGGGTCAGGTCTCTTTCCAAACAAGAAATGTTTCTGCTGTTCGAGATGAAGGCCAAGAGAGCAGACAATTCATCTCTACTTGAACCCAAGCACCGAGGCAGCTTTCCTGGATGCTTCCACCCTCAAGATCTCACCTTTTCTGATGCCATGGTCAGTATGTGCAATCTACTCCAGGAAATAAAACCAACCTCTTTGCTTTCCCTTTTAACTCAGCTGGGATGGGGGAAGGCTTCTCTCCTAAAGCCAATGAAAAAAGGACTATGCCCCCAAATCTGTGCCCTGCACACAAAAAAAGCCAATCAGATTCAATCCTGAGCGACTGCAGGCAGCTGCATCAGCAGCCCTGTGTGTTGTGCTGCAGCCCCAGCCTCGATATTGGAACCATTAACCAGCTTTGAGTTTGGAAGTACATTTAGGAACCATCCTTATTTCCCTAGCTTTTTGTCCATAAATAAATAATATATCTAGAGAGATTGTCAGGCTCTTAGCAGTTGCCAATGAAGAAGTATAGCCCTAGGGAACAAAACAAGGAAACCGAAGCCACATGCAGAATTTCTATTTCACTAGGGAATTACTGCCAGCTTGCTGAACAGAGGCTGCCTTTGCAGGGAGGTCCCATAGGGTCCTCCTGTAGCCCTCCTCCCATCAACACCAGCTGGTACAGAGGGTTTTCTACACTTCGGGCCTGGGAGAGGCTGCTACTCTGCTCCTGAGCCAACTTTGAGCAAAATACGCAGGCTTTTTTGTGTTCCGGTCTTTTCTTTCCACACAGGAAATTGGTACTCATGCATGTCTCCAAATAAACCTGTAATCATGTCTCTCATTCCTTCCTTCCATAGATCCCATGGCATGCCAAGGATCTCTCTGTGCCTCCACCCTCCAAAAATGCATAGAAATTATACCAGAGACTATCAGCAAGGCAGAAGGTGGCAGGGATTTGCTTACTGACACACAATCTATTAACAGAAAACCAGAGAGACGCTAAGGATTTCTGTGCTCCAGTCCTCTTTGTAAACTTGATGCTTCTCTTACAGTTTAGATTGGTTCAAATAACTTTAAGTGAGGTACGCATTTAAATTACCCTAGTCAAAGTTTACTGGAGAAATGGCTTATAAGCAAGGAGGGAAGTGATGGCAGTATTGGCAAAACTTTTGTGGACAAAGTATTTACTGATTTTCTTAAATTCTCTGCTTCTGGAATCAGGACATTAGAAATCTCAGCTGTGCTTTTTTTCAAATGTCTAGCTTGCTGGGTTGCAGGGAAAGAAACAAACTATGGCTTCAAAAGGGAAACACACAGCATTTATGACATACTATTTGTACTTGCCTTTCCTGGGGACCTTGCTGATGATTTTTTGGCTCAGAAATTCATGTCCTTCACCACATCTGGTTTGGACTCTGGCCTCTCAGCTGGCAGAGACATTTCTCCTGATCCTCTTTATAACTCTGTTTTTGCAGCCTGCGCTAACTAATTCCTTCACTCTATAATAATTTCAAGGCCCCAGGGGATTTTACCAAAAAGAACATAGAAAACAACCCATCCCTCAGCTGGGAACTGTGTCTCCAGAGGCTGGAGCCTGGAGTGATTGCTTTTCATGCTGTTTTGGTCCCAGTGGCAGGGCAGATCACAGGCAAAACAATCAGTTAAGTAAAGACTAGAGACAGCAGGAGTGTTTGTCCTTGGTAGACAGGTCCCAGAGTGACATTCTATCTGGTCTTCCTCAGAGGAAGAGCTAAGCACAGGCCAGGGAAGTAGCAGGGAAGAACTGCCTCCGTTTACAACTCCATGGGGTGCAATCCCCATAAACTGCAGGTTAGACCGGTTGGAGCTGGGAGGATAGCAGGACAAACATTCTGGTTTGGTTCTGGCTTAATTTCCAGCATCAGTGGTGCAGTGAGGAAAGTTTGGGCTTAAATACAAATCTAATGTAACAAAATGAGGTAAATGCTGTTTAGGAAGATGGAAGAGACACCCCAAACTTTGTGCACTGAGCTCTCAGGCTTCCAAGCCAGTCAGCTTAAGTATGGTCTCCTGTGGATATTGCCTCTTTTCAGGCTATATTTAGGATGCCCTTGGAAAGGCAGTCTTTCACCTGTTTCTTGAGACCCACCACTCCAAGCAGCCTGCACACACAGACTGAGGTTGGGCTCATGTGGGACACGAGAGAAAAATGCTCCTTGGAGGCTCACAGAGGGGAAGCCTCGGTGTCTGAAAGGCACCGCTTGTATTGTGTTGGCTTAAAATGTAAAAGTATAAGCAGGAGGCACAGGTTTGCTCCTAAAGTCTCAGTATCTCTGCAGCAGGCGTTGGTGTTAACAGCTCACATGGATAAACTATCTTAAGTAAACACCACTGCTTTGAAGGGCATTAGTTTTACTTAGGATGGTGGCAAATTCCTGGTTCTCCACTGAGACACGGATGTGGTGCAGGCCAGGGCAGCAAAATCTATTTCACGGCCTCTGTGCACGGGTGTGCGATCCTCCCCGTAACCGCCTCCCCGGAGACCCTGGGGCACCAGAAGCTGCCGAGGCGGGCAGCGAGACTAAACCGAAGGAGGCCTGCGCCGGCCGATAGCAAAGAGCCGCCGCCCCGAGCCCGCTCCCTCCGCCTCTGGCGCCACCGCCGCCCGCCCCCAGAGGGAGGGCGTGGAGCCAGCACCGCGTACCTTAGCCGCGGCAGAGCTCATGCTGCGCAGCGACCCTCCGCAGGGGCCGCAGAACCAGCCTAGGGCCGCCCCCTCTCCTCAAGGCTCAGCAGCAGCCGTGACCGCCGCCGCGCCGGCGGGACTACATCTCCCAGCGTGCCCCGCGCCGGCGGGACTACATCTCCCAGCGTGCCCCGC